TGCATGTGTGAGAGAGCACAAGTGGTAGAATGGGAGAAGCAGGCTGCCCATCCAGCAGGGAGCCTGATGTGGGGCTTGATCCCAGCAGCCTGGGATCATGACCTGAGCTGAAGGCAAATGCTTAACCGACTGAGCCACCCAGGTGCCCCTGTGTCTTATTTAATTGGTTTCTTTAGTGTATTATCATTTTCAGTACACAAACCTTTCACCTCCTAAATATTTTATTGTTTTTGGTGCTAATGTAACTGAGAACATTTACCTAATTTCCTTTTTGGATAATACATTGGTAGTGTATGGAAATGCAACTTATTTTTTTAAAAGATTTTATTTATTTATCTGAAAGAGAAAGAGAGTGCAAGCAGAGGAAGAGGGAGAATCAGGCTCCCCGATGAGCAGAGAGCCCAATGTAGGGCTCAATCCTAGGATCTTTGGATCATACCTGAGATGAAGCAGATGCCTAACCGAATGAGCCACCCAGGTGCCCCAGCAAATGACTTTTATAAGGTGATTAAAAAAAAATTTTTTTTAAGATTTACTTATTTATTTGAGAGAGAGAGCATGAGCAGGAGGGGCAGAGGAAAGGAGGAGGCAATCTCAAGCAGATTCCACCCTGAGTGTGGAGCCCAACCGGGGTCTTGATCTCATAATGATGAGATCATGACCTGAGCTCAAACCAAGAGTATATGGTGATTTTTATACCCTGCAACTTTCCTAGATGTATTTATTCATTCCAACAAATATGTGTGTGTGCATGCATGTGTGTGTAATCATTAGGGTTTTATATATATGACCATATGTGATCATATAATCTGCAAACATAGACTATTTCTTTTCGAACTTGGATGCCTTTTATTTCTTTTTCATGTCTAATTGCTCTGGCTAGGTCTTCCAATATTATGTTGAATAGTAGTGGTGGGAAAGGACAAATTCATCTTGCTCCTGATCTTAGAGGAAAGGTTTTTAGTTTTTCAGTATTAAGCTGGAGTTTAGCTGTGGGCTTGTCATATATGGCCTTCATTATGTTGAGGTGTATTCTTTCTATAACCGATTTGAAAGTTTCAACAACATGAAGGGATGTTGAATTTTGTCAAATAGATTTTCTGCATCTATTGAGACAATCATATGATTTTTATCCTTCATTCTGTTAAAGTGTTTTTTAACACATTCTGGCATCCCAGGAATATAGTTTATTTGATCACAATATATGATCCTTTTAATACGCCATTGAATTCTGTTTGCTAGAATTTTTTGTTACAAATTTTTGCATCTAGACTTTTTTTTTTCTTACAGATTTTTGCCTCCATGTTCATCAGAGATATGGACCTGCAGTTTTGTTTTCTTGTAGTGTCTTTTTCTGGTTTTGGTGTCAGTGTAATGCAGGCTTCATACCATGAGTTTGAAAGTGCTGCTTCTCTTTAATTTTTTGGAAGAGTCTGAGAAGGAATGGTATTAATCCTTTTACCCATTTGATAGAATTCACCAGTGAAGCTATCTGGTTCTGGGCTTTTCTTTGTTGGGAGCTTTTGATTATTGATTCAATTTCCTTTACTTGTCTATTGGTCTGTTCATATTTTCTATTTCTTCTACCATATGACCTAATAATTCCATTCCTGGGTATATATCCAAATTGAAATCAGGATCTCAAAGAGATAGCTGTACTGCCATGTTTATTGCAGCATGATTCACAAAAATCAGGATTTAGAAATAGTCCAAATTACCATCAGCAGATGAATGAGTAAATACAATGTGGAAGATGCATACAATACAATATTATTCAGCCTTAAAAAAAGAAGGGTATCCTACCATTTGTGACATCATGCATAGACAAGAAAACATGCATTTTTCAAGCATTTAACAAGAAGTGCATATTATCTACACCTCTACATTTTTATCAAAATCCATTTCTCATTTTAAATGTCCTTTCATCTAAGTAACAATTACTTTGAAGCAAAAGCTAAAGTGTTAATTCATGCATTTCTGGGCTTACAAATTTAATTGGGTAAGAAATGATTCCATTATCTAGTTCGATTGCTTAAAAGTGGCCTATCATGTGATAGGCCAGTTATACAACCAGAGACATGTTCTTACTCTGATTTGTTTTACTCAGTTCAATTATCACTTTTTCTTTACAGCATCTGGCTTGCCAAGACAATTCCTAGGGATTGCTGGAATACAAAATCCAAGGCCAAAACTTGTCCTGGACATCCAGGCAAACATGGATCCCTGGAGCCTGAACCAGGAGGGAGCAGGGAAATTTTTAGGCTTAGGTGGTAGGTCTGGGGAAGTCTGAGGTGAGGGATAAGAGGGGCTGCAGATAGAAAGGAGTAGAAGGTGACCGACCGTCACCACAGCCCTCTTACCTGCTGTGGTCCCCTCACGATGATTATCCTCAGGGCAGACACTGAAGACCAGCCCAGTTTGGGGCTTTCATGAGGTTCTGTGTGAGGAACAGGAGATATCATATCACCATGGAAAACATTATGCCTGGAAATAAGTCAGTCACAGAAGAACAAATGCTGCATGATTCCACTTACATGAAAAATCTATGTTAGGCCATAGTTAACAACAGGGTGTTATGCACTTAAAAACTTGTTAAAAAGGTAGATCTTATGCTATGTTCTCTTACCAAAAAGAGCAACAACAAAAGCAAGGGGACACAAGAAATATTTTAGTGATGATGTATATGTTTATTATCTTGTTTGTGGTGATGGTATCATGTATATGCATACACCTAAACTCATTAAGATTTCTGTATTAAATATATGCAACTTTTTGTGTATTCGATTTGTCTCAATAAAATTGAAAACAGAAAAAAAAAGAGGATGAGCACAAAACAAAAATGAGAATATCAAATGTTGGAAAAGATGTAGAGCAACTGGAATTTTCGTTCACTGCTAGTGAGCTGTAAATTGGTAAACCAAAACAAAACACTATTTGGCAGGTTCTACTAATAGTGAATACAAGCATATCCATGGCACAGTAATACTATTCATAGGGATGTATCAAAATCAAATGTGTAACTATGTGCATCAACAGAGATCTACAAGAATATTCATAGTACTATCACTTGTGGCCACCCCAACTTCAAACAACTTCACCTCAAGCAATATTAGAATAAATAGAGAAACTTTGGAAATGTATACAAAAATGAAAACAAACAACTACATTCTTTAATATGAATCAATATTATAGACATAGTACTGAGCTAAAAGAGCCACACAAGAGCACATACTACCTCTGTCCATATACAAAGGTTCAGGCAGGCAAAACTAATTTTGGTAGTAAAATTCAACATAGTAGCTATTTCTGTTTAGGAGTGCAATGACTAGAACAAGTACAAGGAGAGATTCTATGTTCCTGGTAAATTTTCAAAATCTTGATCTAGGAGATGCTTGCACAAGTTCATTCACTTTCCTACCAAGACATACACTCATGATTACTGCACTTCTTTTGCACACGTGTTATCCCTCAAAAATTTTTTCACACTGATCAATTCAGAAATTTTTTTAAATTATATATTTTTTCCATTTTAGCAAGTGCAGGGAGTTGCTCATATATTACAGGTAGGAATGCAAGTTGTAACAGCTACTTAAAGGAACAAATGAAAGAATGTACTATGAAGATTTAAAATCTGCTATGAAGAATCTACTCTGAAAATTCTCTATCCAGCACATTCACTTGCTAGTATTTCTACCCTGGAGAACACCTGGATACAGGTACAAAAAGGAGCAGCATTTATGTATGTATGTATGTATGTATGTATGTATGTATGTATGTATTTTCAGCATGCATTTATGTTCAATGCAGCAATGCTTCTGATAGAAAAACAAAAAAGAGATTAAGTACATATCCAACGGTAAGGAAATAATAAATTGTATCTATTGGTTCCGAGGACTGCCATGAAGTATCTTAAAAGAATGACGTAGATCTATATAGAGATACGGAAAAAATCTCAAGAATATAATATTGATTGAAAAAAAAAAAAGGCTACACATATGTAAATGCATAGGAACTAGAAGTCATCTAATAGGGACTGGGTTTATAATTAGTGCCTGAAAATGATTTTAGCCTATTTGTAACGTTTACATTTACTATTATGTGTAATTTAAAATTAATCATGGCACTTAGAACGTCTACTTTGAAAGGCTATCCATCCAGAAAGTAACAGTGGTTCCCTCCAATTGGCGAAATGAATGCCTGAGAAGTTGGAAGCGGAAAAATTTTCACTCTATGAGCTTCTACACCTTTAAATATTTGAACTATATATCACCTATTGGTAAAAAGATCTTTTAAAACTTAAAGGTAATTTGAATTAAAACAATCGTTAAAAGGAGCCCCATCTCGTGGGAAAACAAACCTAATTATATGTGACTACTATTATCGGAGTGTTAATTATGCCACAGGAGAACAGAGAAAGGGTCTCCTAAATAAGTCTGGGGGCTTTGAGGAGAATTCAAATTGGAGGGGACGCTTCAAGAGAGAAATGGAAGGTCCTACTTTTTCATTCCTGGAGAGCACAGTGGGAGGTACCAGGGACCCTGAAATCCAGGCCATGACTATTTTCCACGAACTGGAACCTAACTCTCCACCACGAGACTGCAGGAAAGCGAAAGAAGCAAAATCTCCCGCACGGGGGAAGCCGCCCATTAACAAAACACTGTGACCACACTCAGTCAAAACCAACCAGCTCGAGGTTCTCAAAACGAAGTCTAGATTCACACCCTCCCCTCGGGCCAAGCCAGCCCGCCCTTTCCCGGCTTCTCGTGTCGCTTACTGGGCAGCAAATGAGCGACAGACGCTTGTACCAATCGCTGGCTCTGTTACGGTGGCGGGGGGGGGGGGGGGGGCACGCAGGCCCCAGCCCAGTCTTTGGTCCCTCCGGCGAGATGAGCCTCTGTGCGTCGACGTCAGCGTGTTGACGTCACGGGTCGGATACTCGAAGAGGGCAGGGGGTGGCTGACTGCTGGCGGTGGGCTGCGCGCCGGCTGCAAGGCTTGGTGCCCAGGCCCGCCCCGCCAAGCCCCGCCCCTCCGCCCGCTTGGCGCGGGCGCAACCACGGAACCGCTGTCCCCGGGCCAGCCTGGGGCTGCCCGCCCGAAACCACCCGATAAGGTAGGCTGGGTTTCTCGTCACCCTATTTGACAGATTGGAAAACTGAGTCACCCGGGATCAGATGACTTGCTCGGGGCTCACGGTAGACCCGTGAACGGAGGCCAGAGCCGGAGCGTCGGGTGTTTGCGGAGGGCTGCGCGGTCCTCGGGGAGGAGGAAGGGCTAGGCAGGCTGTGTTTATAAAGGATGCAAAAGTGAAGTTGCAGAATGCTGAGCCCCACCTCGTTCCAGCGCTGAGGCTGGGATGCTGGGACGGGATGCTGGTAGAGAGGTCTGCATTCCTTCCCCCTGCGGACCTCGAGGAGTCCTCGGTGGGGACCCGCCCGGTGCTGGCGCCATGGGCCCTCCGGAGTTAACCATGAACCGTGACTAGGGTGATGCGTGGTTTATACAGACAAGATCGATCATTGGCCTCTTTTACTCATTAAGAAAATCTGTGTTCAAAACAAAACAAAATTGAAAAATCAAAGCCCAAGTTATGAGTGTTGTGGCCCTAGTTTCATTTCACTGCCTTGCCCACTCATAGTATCCGGCCATATTTTGAAATCAAAGTAGCGTGCTTGTTTTTGTTTAGGATTTTCTAGAAAGAGTGGTCCCCCCCCCCACTTTTGTTCAAATATGGGTTAACATTGTGGAACTTTTCTTACCCTTCCATTAATGTGCCGGTTGTTCACCATGTCATTTGTCTTCTGTTTCACAGATGGAATCACTGAATTCATCACTTGACTCAGTAATAGTTTGGATAAGTTTAGCAAGGTAACAAAGTAACAGGTCTAATCTCTCAAATATACTGGAATTAGTTCAGAATGTTTACCTTAGAATCTTTGTTGAGAAAGGATCTGAAAGATAATTCCCATGTATGTACCACCTACCCATCTACTCTCTAAAAGCAGGATCTCAAAAAATAAAACTTTTACTACCTTTGCTTTATGTATAGATTCATGCCCATAAAGTGAAAATGTGTGGTGTACAGTGTGTACATACATATATAATATTTTCATTAAAAATTCATTCTCTTTAAATCTTGGTAAAACATTGAACTTTTAAGTCTGCGTGATTGCATAAAACTGCATTAAAGAAGTGAAATTGAAGTCACTTTGGGAGACTTTTCCTTACTTATGTTCACAAGATGGCAATTTCAATCATTTCAGTTTATTCTTTGAACAAGTTTTTCAGATGAGGACCTCATCTGTGCCACATTTTGGTTTGAGGTGTTGGAGATTGAAAAGTTTACTTAGGGTTCCTGCCCTCAAAGACCTTCCATTTTGGTGGAGACACAATAAACATGTAAAGAAAAATGACTATTTTAGATAATGATAAATGATAGAAAAAATAGTTCAGGATAAGGGGATAGAGTGTGACTGGGATATGGGGGAGTAAGAGAGAATTTAGATATGGTGACAAGAGAAGGTTTCCTTGAGGAAGTGACAGTTTGATGAGACCTAAGTGTTTAGAATGAGTCAGCCATGGGAAGATCTGGTGGAAGTTTCCAGGCAGACACTGCAGTGCAAAGGAGCTAAAGGAAAAATGGGCTTAGAGTGTACCAGGGGTAGAAGAGAAGCCATGTGTGGAATGGATTGAACCTTGGAGAGAGTGAGGTGGGGGGAGATGACACTTGAGAGGTGGGCTTGAGCTGCATTGTCGGAACCCAGTGCATTCAGGCAAAAGGCATAGGATTTGTGTGTTGCCAAATCCCTCCTTATTTAATGATGCTCATAGATTCTAGCTAGCTCTCTGTTTTATTTTGGTTATGAAATCATTGCAGCAATTCGTTATGTATATATTTTTTTCACCATTAGTCTTCTCTCTTAATGAAAATACGTCTCCTTCCCTTTAGCACAGTGTCTCATGCTGTTTTTTTCCTATTCATTATTATGTGCAGGACTCTCAGCCTCTGCTTGTCTTCAGCTCCCTGCTTTTATCCTTCCTTCCTGTGAGCCCTCCATTCTTTATGTGGGGTCGCCCTTTGGAAAGGACTGGCAGTCACTCCCTGCTCTTGTCCAAGCTGAGTTCTAGGAAACTGCATGGTCAAGTGGATTATCATTTTTCATCAGAGCTTTTAACTAACCAGAGAGTTAATGTCTGCCTTTATTTAGTGCCTACACTGTGCCAGGAGCATTACATACATTCTTTCTTTCCAACATATTGCAAAGGTAAATATTAATCCTTCTTGATCAGAAGGGAAGCTTGTACTTCGGCCATCTAGCTAGTACTGAGTGAGCGTAGATTCAAACATTCCAGCTAGCCTGACCCCAAAGCCTAATCCATGTTACTCTACCTCAGTGCTTCCCTGAATACATAGCTACAGCTACAAATCTCTATTATTTGAAGTTATATATTTTTTTGAAGTTACATTTTTTGAAATGGCATTTTAGAGATCATGATTTAGTCCTCTCATTTTATAAAGATTTTATTTATTTATTTGAGAGAGCGCCAGAGTAAGGTGGGGGGACAGAAAGAGAGGGAGAAGCAGGCTTCCTGCTGAGCAGAGAGCCTGATGCTGGGCTTGATCCCAGGACCCGGAGAATCCTCACCCCAGCCTAAGGCAGACGCATAACTGACTGAGCCACCCAGGCGCCCCTGAGAATACAGTATTTTTGTTAGTAGATTACAGATTTTTGTTAGTATGCAGTGGTTTCAAAATGATTTTTCTTTTTTTAAGATTTTGTTTATTTATTTGGCAGAGAGAGAGAGAGAGAGTGAGGGTGCACACAAGCAGGGGGAGCAACAGGCAGAGGGAGAGGGAGAAGCAGGCTCGATCTCAGGACCCTGGAATTATGACCTGAGTGGAAGGCAGACACCGACTGAGCCACCCCAGTGCCCCTCAAAAATGACTATAAAATTTAAGGTTTAATTGTACCCATCTTTTTTTTTTTTTCCTTTTTAAAGATTTTTATTTATTTATTTGAGAGAGAGAGGGAGAAGCCAGATCCCTTCTGAGCAGGCTTTATCCTAGGACCCTGGGATCATGACCTGAGCTGAAGGTAGATGCTTAACTGACTGAGCCACCCAGGTGCCTCTAATTGCACACATCTTTGAAAAGGAGTTCAAAACTTGTTACTGAATTCCTAGCATTAACCTTGCGCTTACAGGTGTGGGAACGTTGCATAGAGCTGCTGGCTCATACTCTCTGTTAGCAAGTGGAGTTTCTTCCTAGAATTGAGGACGTCTTTGGGTCAGCTTTGGGATATAACTTCTTTCTTGGTACTATATAATCATTTTTAAAAATTAAGTAAAAATCAGTTCATGGATTTTATGGTTAAAAAATGAGTTGCTATGTTCCTCCAATTTAAAAATACTCATTATTTATTTCCAAGCTTTGCTTCTTATGACTGGGATATGGTAGGTGAGTAATAGTAAACTAACAAATAGTTCAATTTACTTTCTGTTGATTTCTTGACTCTCCTATAATGTAGTAGGGATTGTCTTTCATTAGTTGAATTAGAATTATGTAAATGCACTTATTTTCTTTCTTACACATTGGAAAGTCTTAAATTTAGGCAAAAGAGAGCTTTTGCTATTTAAGCCATTCACTGGGTATTTTGACAGAGTTTCTCTGTCCTTCAAGATTGTTCGTGCAACCAGTGTCCATGTTTTAAGATCTAGGCTGTCATGAATTGGTCTCAGACTGTAGTGCCATCCTTCCCCGAACCTAGTGCCCCAGACTGAACTGGCTGTTTCAGCTTCAGTGTCTTTGCTTGTGTTCTGCCTGGAATGCCTCATAGATGGACAAATCCAGCCTGTCCTTCCATGTCCATTTGTGCTGCTTATTTAATGGAATATTTCCTGTGTCTTTAATGGAAGCCTTCTCTTTCAGAACACCTTTGGGAGTCTTTCTTTGTGATGTAGTTTACCAATCCTGGTATCTTTGGTAATGCACTCTTTTATGCATGAGTATTCAAATATATGTTTGCTTGAGCTTAGGAGACACTTAACTATTCATGTTATACATGCAAAGTTTTTTGTAAATTGTAGAGCCTTTAGTTTTATTTATACTTTTATCATCTCATCTTTGAGAGAAGCACTGTTCTGTTTTTCTTGGCTTTGATTCAACAGAACCTCTTTCCTGTTTCAGTTAAGGGTCTGACTTCTGCAGTTACCAAGAGATCCCTTGAGAGGAACTCAAATCTTTGGGTTGTAAATGGTCACAAGTAAAAATCATTGTTACCTGTGTTTATGGTACTGGATCATATAATAGCAGTTCCAGCTTTTGAGTATTAAAGATTAGAAAAGGCCCGGAGAGCCTAGCCAGGGATGCATGTGGTGCTGGGCTAAGAAGCCTGGTCCGTATCCCTGGATGGAGACTGCGGAGGCTTGCACCAGATGTCATGGGTTCTGCTGTCCTGCAGAGCTTGAGCCTTTCTGAGCTTTTTATTTGCTTTGCTTGTTCTCGATCTGGCTCTTGAAGGTGCCTGTTTTGATGACTCCCCACCACAGGACCCTGCCAGCGCAGGATATTCCTGCGCAGGCACTGGGGTAGTGCGGGGTGTGATTGACTCCTTAGTTTAAAACCCTCCTCCTCTACTTCTCGTCTAGTCACGGTTTTCCAAAAACTATCCTGGGACCAGTGGGCATCCTCAGTGTATAAAACTTGGAGTGGACAGGAATTTGGCCTAGTACCTTCTAAGTTGCAGTAGTCACTGGTTCCCACCACCCATGTGCTTTAGGACAGTGTGCTTTTCAAATCCTGTGCATTATTGCTCACCCGGGTGTGTTCTTGTTTGCTGTTTGTTTTAGGAAAATAGACCTACATGTTTTTGTTTTTGTTTTCTTTAAATTAACCACTTGCTTGTTGAGCGGATATGCGGAACCAGGGAGTTTCAAGTACATTTTGCTATTTATGTTGTACTTAAATTCATCAAGCAAGGAGCTCTGGAGCTATCAGAAATTTCTCCAGCTGAGACATGAGCACCAGCCAGTCCTCACTTTGGGCATTATTGATAAGAGCTCACACTCTGGGCCCGCTGCTGTTCTCATCGCTTTGTGTCTGGATTGCTCATC